AATAATTATGATAAACTCATCTTGCAAATGGAACAGGATTTAGATCGGTGGAGGAAAGTACAGCTATCCCTGTTAGGAAGAGTGGCAGTGATAAAGGCACACGTGCTGCCAAAATGGATATATCTTTTCCAAACGGCCCCAGCAAGATTAGAGAAAAGTTTCTTTAGAAAAATGGATCAGATAATTGGAAAATTCATATGGCAAGAGAAAAAGCCACGTATTAAAAGGAAAATGATGCAGGAGCATAAAACAAGGGGAGACTTGGGACTCCCCAACTGGGAGCGGTACTATCAAGCTTCTTGCCTGGTTTGGGTAAAAGATTGGATAACACTGAAGAGGAAGCGTATATTAAAAATTGAAGGGTATAATCTACAGCAGGGGTGGCATTATTTTCTCTGGCCAATTAAAGCAGGACAGCATAAATATTTTACAAATCACTATGTAAGGGGACGTCTGATTAAGGTATGGAATAAGATCAAAGGAATGATGTATAGTAAGATTCCATATTGGTTTGTGACCCTTGAAGCGACTATATACCACCTCTATACAACTTGGATAAACATGTGATATACAGGGAATTGTTGGACAGTGAGGGAAATCTTAGATCTAAAGCGGAACTCCAAATATGGGGAATCAGTTTGGACTGGTGGGTATATGCACAAATTCAAGCAAGATATCAAAAAGATAAAGCCAATGGGGGGGTTTTCACTTCACCACAAGAGTTCGATAAGGCCCTCCTGGAAGGTAATAAGAAATGTATCACTAAGGTATATAACCTCCTCCTGTCCCGATTTGTAGCTGAGGAAATAGTTAAAGACTCGATGATAGCCTGAGGAAGGAATTTCTGATATTCATTAGATCTGGAAAAATGGCAACAAATATGGAATAGAAATGCGAAAATGACGACGGCAGTGTCTTTTAAAGAAAATATATTTAAAATGTTATACAGATGGCATATACCACCAGTAAGAATCGCAAAGATGTTCCCTGGAACCTCAGCAGAATGTTGGAAATGTGGGTCAGCCAAGGGTACATTTTACCACCAATGGTGGACATGTCTACAAGCCCAAAACTATTGGAGTAAGATAAAAGTTTGGCTCATGGAGATTACAGGAGTCAGTTTTCAACTGAGACCAGAGGTCCACTTGCTAGGAATAAACCCTGGGGGCATAAGAAAAGCAGACTGGTACCTTTTCATACACATTACCACTGCGGCTAGAATTACATATGCACAACTTTGGAACGGGAAGGAAGTACCATTGGATCAGATGATTATCAACAAAATTTTGTGGTGTGCAGAATGTGATAGATTAACATATATACTTAAAGATAGACAAGAATCAATTTTCAATCAAAGCTGGGATAAATGGTACCAATGGATAGAAGTAAAAATGTCATGAGGTAGATGTTAGGGAAGCATGTAGCATAGAAATGTAAATAGCAAGCTAAATATAAATAAGGGAATATTAGATATAAGATTAACAAATGCAAGATGCAGTATGATAAACCAAACTGAAGCTGTAGTATGATGATATGTAATGTTATTTAGAAACTATATATATATGGGGGTTGAATCAACCTCAGTCGTATGTATGTGATTGTGTTTCGTTATAGTCTTTATTTTGTTTTATGTTTCTAATTTATAATAAAAATTAAAAAAAAAGAATATGACTGTGAGGGGAAAAAAATGATCTCCTCCGTATGGAGATGAATTTTCAGCACTGGAGATGCTATCCCCATTTTCAATGAAGAGAACATATTAATGAACTGGAAGTTTATCCCACCATAAATTAAGTCTCCAGACGCTTGATGAGTGGATATAAAGAATTCAACTATTAGAATAGTGAGAAATTAACACCCCCAAACACTTTCAGATGCCCTCTCTATACGTGCATTATAATCTAGAGAAATTAATTTCTGAATGATCTGTTTAAAATATAGCAAGAGTTCTTTTTCTATGACAGGCCATGGTTAAGGCCAAGCTACCAATGAAAGATTAATTACCATTCCTTAGCAGTCATCTAGGCAAATCCCACTCTTAGCACCCAAATTTTCAGTTGGTTTGAGTAAAATAGGTATTAGGTTAATGGGATTATATTGTTATGTTGCATTTCAATTTTTTGTGTTAATCTGAGCTGGAACTCAAAGCCTATTGCTTTCCTGGAAGAGCCCAATAATGCTACGTAGTTGGCAAAGTAAAAAAATCAACATTTTTGTGAGGAACTGGATAAAAATAGGCATGTGCTAGAAACATTCTCATTTTATTTGTTTGTAAATACTGTTTCATATGTGTGGGGCCAGAAAGTTATTCTTAGAAATATGTCTGCATATATTGCAACAAGTTATATCAAAACAATAAATAAACATACAAATGAAGGGAATTAGAGAAATAGCTTCAGGCAGTCCTCATTTAGAAAGCCAAAGTAAGATTATAAACACAGTTGCCATTTCTCTAAACATCCATTTTGTTTAATGACCAAGTTAAACTGTGATAACTAAATGAGGTCTATCAACACAAGCTTTAATTTAAGGGTGGGTAACCTGCAGCCAATCCTCTTTTTAGCAGACTTAGAAGCCTCCTTTGGCATTAGATGCTGAAAAGTGACAGCACTATTTTCCACTATTTGTGTTGGGAAACAGATGAAGAAATATAATATTGTAGAGACTGATGTTGACAAAGCAGTGATAAACTGGGTTTGGGCCAGCCAGAATGGTTGTGCAAACACTGAGCAGGTGCCCTCTTATCACAAGGCTGGGAAAACGTCTTCAAAAGACAGCAGGAAAAGTTTTAGGATTTAAAACTTGGGGATAGGAGGGAGGGAAGAGAGAGCAAGAGATAGGCAGGCAGACTGATTTATGTGTTGTGCATATATTGTTTTCTTGTCTATAATAAAGCAACTTTCCTAAACTGTCTACAAACGTCTGCTGTTGGCTATCCGAGTTGATTTTATGGACCGTAGAAATGTGTCCAATATGCAATCTGAGATTTAGGTTAAAACAGAGGTAAGTTAAAAAATGAAGAACACCCCTACCACAACAAAGGCCAACTCACATAACTGATGTGGTCCACATAACGTAGCTTGTGACCACCAAATACTAACACACAGCCCTCCCTATTCTAACTCAAGCAATCCCGAGATGAATTCTCTTCATTTGCAAAACACACAACATAGATTCCAACTATTTACCCTAAGGCAGAGGTGTCAAGCTCGATTTCATTGAGGGCTGCATCAGGGTTGCGTTTGACTTTGGGGGGCTGGGGTGGGCATGGCCAGCTCAACATCACTCGTGTCAGGGGCATCTGTAGTGGCCAGAGCGCTCTGCCAGCGAAAATGGGCTCCGTTTTTGACTGTCACGTCCTCCTGCAACCCTCTGCTAGCGAAGACGGAGCTCAGCACACAGCCCCTCTGAGCTCCGTTTTTGCTGACAAAGGCTCTGTGGGCCAGTTCTTCGCTGTTTCCAGGGTGGTTCCACGGGCCAGATCTAAGCACCCTGCAGATTGGATCCGTCCCCCAGACTTTGAGTTTGACACACCTGCCCTAAGGCTTTGTTCTCAAAAGGTGTTTTTTTTTAAAAAAAGAAAATTCACTTTTTAATGAAACATCTTTGAGGAAATCTCAATTTTTATATACTAAATATGAAGTGTTTAAAAGTTGTTTACTTTGGGGGGCACTTTAAGGAAATGAAAATGTCTTGTGGTAACTTCAAAGGCCAACAAATGTATTTTTGCATAGACTTTTCATTATCAAAGGCCATGTGTGCACTATACTCCATGCAAGCTTATGCACTAATGAATTGATTCTTTTTTAAACTGCCACAACAATTTTAAAGTCATTCATGTAATCTCATGTGATTTATTAATTTTTAATGTGCCACAAAATTCCTTATTTTGCTGCAAAAAGATTAATAAAGTCAGTCCGCTGGAAAGCTCTTGAAGAAAATATATGCTTATATAAGCAGGGGAAAACTCAAGTCAGGAAATTTCCCATTGGCACTGTGAAGCTGGTTATTTCCACAGTGGTGACTTATAACATCATTTGGCATTATTCAATATCCCTGTGCCAAAGTAACAGTAAAAGGGATAGGCTTTTCTTTGCTGCACTGATGCTTGGATAATGTTATGAAAACACTTTTAGTCACTATAAGAAAATGGCCTAAGGTATTATGAAACCAATTAGATCAAGCTCTTGGATAAGACAAGCTTGTGAAACATAAGAGACACATCACATCACATCGAGACCATGTCAGGAAAGGAGTATTTCAAATCCTTGCTTTCCCCAAGAGATTGTTAGATAGCAAAGGACTGATTGATTTGTGTAATTGTTTTTTAAAAAAAGCTTACATCCACAGCAAACAACAATTTGAATTTATGCAGTTTCATGTACAGAAAATAAAAAAAAGTGCAACTACTGGTCATTTCAAAAATTCAGCTGCTACAGTTTTGGCAATAATGTCTTTTGTGCATGCCGTAAATGCAATGGACGTTGTGTTGCACTGTTCTTGCTATTGAATAGCAAGTGTCTTAGAAAGTATTGTTTTTATGGTGTTTCATACATGAAAGTTGTTCTAGTTGAGATTCTGCGAAGGAACACTAACTAAACATTTCTGCCAAGTATATACTGAATTACTTGTAGAAATTGCTCTTCCTGTGTTTATAGGTACTTTCCAACTTTTGGGGGGACTCCAAAATGGTATATAGATTTCTAATGTCGTATCTTTTGCGGAGGGAATACAGTATATCAATCACAGGGATCTGGAATCCAAATCTGATAGAAAAACACAGACGAACTGCATATAGGTTATTTGTCCAGTTGAAACAAAGCTCATTCTTCATTTTCTGATTAAACACCCTGAAAACCCTTTTCCTTAAAGGAGCAGTGACTCTGCAAAGGGCAATCAAAAAAGCATTAACTGTGTTGCATTGGATGAGTGGATCACTTTTTATGTAATAGTGCATATTTGAGAAACACGAAGCAGAAAGAAAAAGAAAAGGATTTTACCTTCTTTATCTTTGCAATACTGAAGGCTGGGGTCAATATGCTCCGGACCTTTTCCCACTTCTCATCACGCAACATGACAATGCTGTCTGCAAATGGCTTAAAAACCAAATCTGGACTCTAATTGAAGACAAAGATAGAACAGTATCAAAAACAGATCAAAACTTAATAGCAATTTAACAACTGATGAATAAGTATGTTGAATACAAAGTAGGATAATAATGTTTGGATTCCAGAATTCTGAAAAGTTGTGTATTGGTTTGCCTGCACACCCTTGCTTGTGTTGTATATATACATGTATTGTAATTCCGAGAATGAAGACCCCTGAAAAGTTATGGCATAGGTTTCTTTTCCAAGGAACCTTTCTTTGCACTGTAGAGGTTATATTCAGTCCCCAAAGCCCCAAATGCTAATGCACATTGGGGTTTTCTTGTAACTGTATAGATATTCTATTCCAAGTTCCTGTAGGGGTATGATTTCATTGTTCTGGAACAACAGTGCTGTCCATAATTGTTCCTACTGGGAATTTTGTGAACCTCCAAGAAAAACCATGATTTTAAAATTCAAAATTAGTAGAGACATATTCTAAAGAAAGATTGCAAAGACAAAACTTCATGGGTCCAAGATTTAATACCGTTGACTTCAATTAAGCTTAAATTCAATTTATCTAGCTTTAACCAAGATGGGAACAATATTATGACAATTCAACATTTCAGTAATATTATATGAGAAACTGCTAAGCTACTGAATTATTGGAACCTTTGGAAATGTGTATTAGTTGCAATAGCATTTTTCACAATGCTAGGGACAGATAAAAATCAGAATGCTGCATCTTGACCTCACCCATTCATATAGTGTAAATTCTAGCTATGTTCTCCAATCATCTCATCCATCTTCTAATATATGCTGTTGGCCACAGGGTGGACACTTTGCCCTAAGAAACCACAGTGAATGATCTCAGAAAGCTATGCCCCGTGTAATGTGTGCAGGGGAATGCATCACTAATACACTGAGTCAAGAGGACACAGCTATCAAGTGTGCTACACAGATTTCTGCTCTGAGAAACTCTGGTTCTCAATTACACTCCAACAACAAAATTGAGGTACATTTAAATTTGTTGCCAAGCAGCACCACTAAAAAAAGCAGCACTCCACACTGCAACATTTATTGCAAATCTGTTGTGACTTGTCACTCTGATCAATGGTTGTAATAAAGAATGGATCGGTTCTGGCCTAAATGTATACCAACTGAGCATTCCCTTCAGATCCCACTTCAAAGTCTCTTTTTTTCTTAAAGCACTACAGAACTCCTTAGCTCTGTATCCCATACAGTATAACCAATCCCAACTCAGTTTTTTTTAAATTAATTAATTTAATTATTTATTTAAAAGATTTATATGGCTGCTCATCTTAAGCAACTCAGCACAGTTTTCAATAGTTTTCCCATGCCTTTATATCTGTCTCCTGCAATTCCTATATCAAACATTAACTTAATTGTTCATGAGGTAGAAACCTATCCATTTGTACTTTTATAACAGGCTTTGATATCATCTGTTTGTAAATGCTAGCCTCATTTCAAGCTGGAAAAGTCAAACCAATCAACCAGTTATGCCTTTCTACAGGATATTCCATTCTGTGTTCCTCACCCCCTTTTTAGGTTACTATTCCAACTATCGTTCTACATTCCATGACTGCTGATCTTCCTCAAACCTCATCAGGCATTTTTTAACCAGCAGCTGTTCTTTTAAAATGTCTTTAGAAAGGTATAGTGCTGTGATGGCGAACCTATGGCATGCAAAGCCATCTCTGCAGGCATGCGAGCTGTTGCCCTAGGTCAGCTCCATCGCGCATTTGCACGCGCCGGCCAGCTGAGGCCTCCCAGAAGTCTGGAAAGAGATTGTTTCCAGGCTACAAAGGGCTTCCGAAGGGCCAGGGAAGGCCATTTTCGCCCTCCCGGAGGCTCCAAGAAAGTCTCCGGAGCCTGGGGAGGGCGAAAAACAGGCCTACCAGAAATCCAGAAACAGGCCATTTCTGGCCTCTGGAGGCTTTAGAGAGGCCTGCTAGGCCCAAAACGGGGCCCTGGGGGTCGTGTGCAGATGTGCAGGGGGCCGGGACATGTGGGGGGGGCATCGCATTATGGGTATGAGAGCGTGCACGATAGCGCGTGTGTGCCTTCAGCACCCAAGGAAAAAAAGGTTAGCCATCACTGCTACTGTTGTTGTTTTGGTATTTTTACAATCTTTAAGTGTTCTCTGGAGATGGGAGATACTTCTTTATTTCTCAGTCTGAATTGTCAGATTGTCAATACTCAGTCACACTTGAGGAGTGTGATAATAGCCATTTCTATATTCCATAACAATAAACCCTGAAGAAACAGTACACTGAGTCCAACAGAAGAAGTAAAAAAAAAAAAAGCTTGAAAGAAAAAATAAGTTTGTACTGTAGTGAATTTATTTACCTCAGTAAATAAATTATATTAATAAATTTGTTAATCAAATTTATATGGCCATCCATCTTATGAAAAACAACTCCGGATGGCAGCCATCTATTTATATAATTGAAATGAATATATTTCTTAGATTTTTTTTTCCTACTGAAATTTTATTTGGTAGAACAAAAGCAGAAAGCCAAACATTTAAAAATGTCTTGTTTTGTTAATGAATCATAATTATATTTATAATCAAGAGTATTTATAGTGAGTAATGATTGTCTTGTACTAGGAAACCATTCCCGTGTGTAAAGAAATGCTATGAACAATATCATCCCTTAATACTTTTTTTCTTGCCAGATGTTACATGTATGGAAGAAAAATAGCTAGGGACTCTTCTTCAGTTTCATTTCCTTCTTTTCTCTACCAAGTTACAACTAGTAAAATGAAAATGCTATGTGAAATAGAATCATTGTGGTGAAATGCACCTCTCCCTCAAGGCATCCAGTGAGATGCAATATGTACATAGACAAACACCCCCCAAAAAACTCATCTGATCTTGTTTTACATGATTATTCTCCCCCCCCCAATCATGTTTAAATCATGACTTAAACTAATTCACAAGTTTTTTAAGAAGCTACCATTATTCTCCTTCAACCCAATATATCCTACCAAGGTGTTCTTGTAGAGCAGGGAGGACTGTGTACACTGTCCTGAACACCTGGACGAAAGGTAGGATATAACCTGCAAATAAATAAATAGTATCCAGGAAATAGTTGTTCAGCACTTAAAGGCAAGTGCCTTAAAAAAGAAATGAGCAACACAGAGTGCCCCATGAAGTGATTTGGAGTGGCACGGTTTTGGAGCTTCTTCTTTTAACAATCTCTACTAAAAATTTACACCTATCCTTCCAGTAAAAAGAAACAAACCAACATCACACAGTTGCAAATAAAAAAGCAGAGGGACCGCAAACTATCTATCACCATATGTCCCCTGGAGCAGGGGTCTCCACTTTACGACTTGTGGACTTCAACTCCCAGAATTCCTCAGCCAGCGCAAGCATGGCTCTAGGAGTTGAAGTCCACAAGTCGTAAAGTTGCCAAGGTTGGAGACCCCTGTCCTGGAGCCTTCAGAGGACTAGCACAATGTTGACATAGGGAATACGTTTTTTTTTTTCTCCTTCCTTTCACTTTTCACCAGCCTTCACAATGCCTAATGGCATTGGCAGAATGTTTCTCAATCTCAGGAAACACAAGATGTGTGGCCTTCAATTTCTGGAACATACCAATCCACTTATTACAAGTTCTCTCCTCTTTCAAGCTGGGTCCATACAAGAGGAACAAAGGAACGCAGCCCATAGGCTTGTATTTTAAGATACTGCCTAATAAAAAAATCAGAAGAGTATAAACAAAAACCCTTGAGGCTTTTTTTCCCCCCTGTCACATCTTGGAGCCAATGTCAAAAGATACATATAAATATCACTTTAGCACAGTTACACATGTCATTTTTTTCTAAAAAAAAGAATGGCAAGTAAACACAAAAATGTCAGTCAGTAAAATACATGTTTTCTCCTTTTGTCACCAAAAAAAAAAGGCATACACCTCAGCAGGCAAAGCTATGAATAAAGTTACAATTTATTAATACCTGGCTGTGACAATCCTACTCAAAATGCTTGTTTATAACTGCAGAATCAAAGCTGAAGAAATGAATGCAAAGACAACCCTAAGGCTATGTGGCACGGTTCTATCCTTCTGAACTCAGAGAAAGAGGCATGAGCGTGTTCAAATGTTGCTGATTTAAAGCTGGATTTTTGAAAGTCTCCTGCTTCTACAGTTATCAAGAAAGAGGTTCATAAGCAAAGTCTCCTTTGTGTTCACACCACCTTTGGGTACAAGTCCATTCAAGTTTCCTGCCCACAATCTGGCAATTGTTTATCATTGTCTTGAGATATTTTCTACTCTCCAGTCAAAAGCCACAATCTTCCATCTAAATATTAATGAGGTTCAACGTTGTTTGGCTTTCTGAGATCATCCAAGATCATTTTGGTGCCATCACCTAGCTAAGAAAGTGGAAGATAGAAGTTAATTCTATTAAGTGGACTATTTATTTATTTATTTATTATATTTCTATACTGCCTTTCTCCCGTAGGACTCAAGGCGGTGTACAGTCAAGAAAAATATAGCTACACAAACATCATAAAATTGCTAGTTAATTAATTGACTATGATGGCCGGCTGCGTTCAGCTGCGTTGCTAACATTGGGTGTCTACTGGTCACTGATAAGACTGATTGATTGTGCTTTAATGTCATTCAGTAACAAGAGTTCTTTGGCTAAGAAGATGTCAATGGACACTTGAAGCTCTTCTGCCCCATCAAATGATGTCTTTTTTCAGTCACGACTCTCAGTTCCAAACTTCCTCCTAATACACTTTTATACTACCTCTTTTTTCCACAAATCTCTCCCCAAAACCTTTAGTATCAAAAGTATGTAAGCAAAGTCCATGTAAGTAAATTGAATTTATATTCTTCCTTCTATCTACTGAAACTAAGCCCAGTTAAATGTAACAAATGAGAAAGGATATTTTCCTTGTTACGTCATTTCCAACCATGTTTTATTGTTGTCCTATAACTGCCATGCAGAATAAGAGTTGCACACAAATTGTTGAATAATATCAAGATAAAGGGAGAACTTAA